TCAGTGTAGTAGGTTAGAAGGAAAAGGTGTTCATATATTATAATTTATWATTTTGTAAGCGTACGAATTTTAATCAAAATATCAGTCATACATGTCATAATATGTTTGTTAGATTGTAAATATTTACGAAATGATGTCGTTTTTAAATATCGATAAATATATTATTTCGATACTATGTAGTTATTAATTTATTAAGATACCGTACATGAAAAATTAATATCTTAAACACGTTATCCGTTTTGATTAAAATATATTATGAGGTCATTAATATTACTTTACTGGATAAAGTATAAATATCAATAAATTATTGTTAAATGTTATAAAAAATACAAATCTTATTGTAAATAATATATAACTATATAACTTATTGTAAGAACCTATTGTTACATTTTGACCATTTTGTAGTCCTAAATAATTTATTATAATAATAAGTATATATATATATATATATATGTGTGTGTGTGTGTGTCCAAAGCCAAATTTATTGATGATCAATAATAAAACATTATTGTGATGTATTTGTGACTATTTTTTACTTTATAATTGATTTTAAGCACGTTTTTGACTAAAGGTTTGTGTTATAATGATATCGTAGGTACCTAATGACCTTTTATAACACTTCATACTTACAAACTAAACTAATGGGTTGATCGTAAAAAAAATGTTAAATCTAATTATTATAATGAATATAATAATGGATTTTGTTTTTAAAAAAGAAAATATTTATTTTTCATAACACKATGATATTATATTTCATTTGAAAAAATGAAAAATAATTTTTAATGCATTTTGACATGGTAAGGTGCAATAGAATTTAACACTTCGTTCACGCCTTCAAACTCTTTTTTCTCCTATGGCATTTTTTTATATATATATTTGCACAGCGAAATTCATATCTATAATATCATTTATTACCTACATAACTATGGGGTTTGCGTTCATTTTTATAGTCAAATGTATATTTCATTACACACCTACTCCATCTACAGAGATAGTTCCAGCTGTTTTCCCCCCTGCAGATACGTATCTACTTAAACATTATGTTTAGGTACAGTGATAATATTATAGTTAATATATTCAAACATTATAGCATATCAACATGTTCATAATATTTACATTTTAAAACAATTTAATCATAATACTATTATATGATGTTTATGGATTATAATATATAGGTATTAGAGCTGTACTTAAGGAAGGGTTTGCGGCGCTATTATATTGAAATTTCTACGTTAAAAATTGTTTTCATGTAATAAAAATTATTTATTATTCAAATAAATGAATAAGTGAATAAAACGGGCCAAGGCYTAATGGTAAATAATAATTATAAATTAAATTATGACTAATATGCGCAATGTTTTATCATTAAATTAAGTCTAACACAACAAATATTAAATAATAATATAACAGGTAATACAAATCTACAGTTTAATTATGCTCATAATTAACATTAAAATTAAAATATTAAAAAAAAAAACACGAGTGGAACTTTGTAGATGATTTTTTTAAAATTCTGTTGTGGTAATGGGCCAATCCATTGTTATATTAAAAAAAAAAAAAACTGAGTAAATAAGCGGAATAATATACTGCGACTGAACGTAAAATTTGATATTTTATGCGTCACTAAGTTAGAAACTATAGAGCGTGTTAGGTAGGTATAACGTCTATTTATTAAAAAATTAATGTTTTATTAGTAATTAAAATTGGAATATTTATTAGTTATTACCTAGGCCTTAGCACGAATTATCAAACACCTGTGTTGAAATCGATAGTTTTATCAATTTTTATTCTAGTAGGTGAGTAATAAGTTACCCAAATAGTTACCCACTTACAATTGAACAAAACATTATTTTAATACTGGTCAACTATAACCTAACTACTAAAAAGTTGGCCTTAATTATATACATCTGTTAGGTTAGTGCCAGTGGCTTTGTTTCTATACTTAAAATATGATAACAGTAATCTGTTGATAATTAATGAAACTTAACTTATAAAATCGTATGTGAGACCCAATAAAAAGTAATTATTGAATAACAAATATATACCTAGTCAAGACGTTTATATATTAAAAATTTAAAAGCCATCACATATTATTCCGTTTTATTATAATGTACTGAATAAGTGTGTTTGCTTTAAATTTAAATGGATAAATCGGTAAACTTATTGACAAAATATAAAATATATTTATTTTTTTAAATACGTGTTCATTAATTTGTTGTCAAATGTACAATAGTAAAAATATATAACTGGAGCGTTCCAATTTTTCGCATATTTTTTGTCCGAGAAAAATTATAACATGTTACTGTAATATGTATAGTTGGGAACAGCTATGCAATTCTTTCAATTATTAAGCCGTATAGGAGATTTATAAACGCAATATGTATTTTTTTTCATGAATAAAAAAAGGATAAAAAGTTAGGAATCGTCTTACTTGTGGTTTTTACCTCACTATTTTTAAGATAAAAAAAAATCTAATAAATTTAAAATTATATTCTACATTTTACACACGGCTGAAAACCAGCGGGAAAAAACTGTAGTTTTATGTCTTTCCTTAATCTAAACACATGGTGTTGGAGTTTAAACTGTGGAAGCGCTTCTCTTTTAAGAAGTCTAAGAAGAAAGCAAATACCAACCTGTAAAACAGATCTGTTTTCTCGTGTGTCATTTTTATTTTMATAGAATGTATAGTTATTATTCAGCCAAGTGTTCTTTTTTTCGGTCTCTAAACTTGACATTTTTTTTTCCTGGGAATTTATTATTTTAAGTGCAGAAACACTATTCGCAGGTTCACTTGTTATTGTGCTTAATTAAATCGGATATTCTCCCTTCTCAAATTCTGCCTATAAAATATATTAAATTAGTAAGTTTTCTTCTTGTATGGTTAGTGGGAAATCCTACTATCTCTATACCAAGTTCTAAAATTCCCGAAAGTTATTTTTCACTTATATTGTACCTATTCAAAATAGATAGTTCACCTTCATTATAGTACGCTTCTATGTATATTTTATAATTTAAAATTCTATCTAATATTCTTACATTATATTCATTATATTCATTACAACTTTCTAGTTTCCATAACGGTATTATTATTATTTATCATTCGTATTATTTGTAACAAATCCATGGTAATTACATTATTTAAGAGGGATAGTTTTAAACGTCGAGGGTACTAAGAACGTCTAAGTGTTCAGACTAACCACTCAGATCTGCTAATTCAAAATATGAAAAATTATAGAGATTAAAAATCAACATTTCAAGTAGTAGAGGTTAGTAAGTCGAACAATACCGGAGGTGTGTAATCCCAAGTATGACGTTTTTATTTTTAATTTTCTAGTGGCGCGGTCGTGTGTGCGTTATATTATTCATAATTATAATTATCGCGTGCTATAAAWGTCAAAAAATACGAATAGTGTAATATTTTAGGTTTCTATAAAAACGAATAATCCATCTTACAATATATAGGTGATACGGATATGGATAAACGTGACAAACGAAAATAGTTTATAATATATTGTGTTCGATACTTACCGTGTATTTCGATTGCAATCGTGAGATGCGCGCTGCAGTCACTGCAGCCCTGCGGACTGAGAATAATATGGAAAAACATTAAAATTATGCGAATTGGCGGTGGATATTGTGAGGATATATGCTCCGTAAAGTGCCATTATTCGCGTCGCACAGATACAAAAAAGAAAAAAGAAAAAAGAAAAAAACACGCAGATAAACATAATTTAACGTGTCCCTGTGTTATCCGGAGGGTCTGACGACTTAACCGAAAATCGTGTAAATCGATAAACACGGTCTGAAAGTCCTCCCCGTGACGCTTTATGAATAATTTATTATCGACGAAGGTATATTTTTATCGTCGAAAAAAAAGAGCAAAGGTCACGACTAGACATAGTGGGCGTGTACAAAAAAAGACGTTTTTTATTTGTAGTGAAAAACAYTAATTTTCTCAATTATTTTCTAGCGTATTTTTTTTTTATATATTTTGAAGCACAAACGCTAAGATAACTAATAAAGTAATAATAACATATTGTTAAAAAAAAGGCGATTATTATCGTGGACTTACAATAATAATGAGGGATACGCTCCATATAATTTCTATGTGACTATACGTTCCTCACTATTTTAAATGCTTATAAAATTATAATTGATATCGTTAGACTCTAGACTGCACTTGAGTGTGTAGTCGATAAAATATATGATCAGCATTCTTTACACGATGAAAAATTATTTTATACTTTTATTATATTTTGAAAACAATGTATAGTTTAATTATCACTGCAATATGCAAGRAATATCAAATTTTTTTGAAATACCTATGTAAAAAAATTATAATTATTACCTTGAAAATATGTATYAAGACTWACGAGTCRTAAAAATTATTGAAAATATATACAATATTTTGAATTCACGTACAAAGCTCCACTTAAATAAACTTATAATAGACAATTCAATAGTTGGTATTAATAATGTACACTAACTTATCAAACATTCAAACATTTCGGTGGCTATCGCTGAAAAAAATCAAAAATCTATAAAATCACTGCCACTGAATTAAGTAAAAAACTCGATAAGTATTTAAAAAAAAATCRTTTCCATAATTTAAATACTATTTAAACTATTTTGAAGTGATTTGAATTACACGAAACTTTTAAAAAGTAAACTCAGGTGTGCCAATAACAAGGCCATTTAGATAATCGTATTTTGATCGAAAACTACCATCGCGTACGGCAAAACTAATAAAATAAATATAAAACCGTGCCAGAGTTATAATATTGTCTGATCTAGTTTGATAGATTTATCGTTGACGGATCGACGCGGAAAATGTCTTTTGGTTGCATTATTAAAGCCTACAGGTAGGTACACATAATCATGCCATTTTTCAGATTTTTTTTTTCTTCCAGCACAAGACGTTGATCGATTTTTCCTCTTTGAAATATGGAATAAAACAATTTTTTTCTACCGACTTCGGCTTACACGCCCGCGAAACTCACCTGCGTAGTTGATGACACGGCGGCGGTGGCGACGGCGGACGACGGCCGGAACAACGACAATACGAGTATTATTATCGTCCATGTTCGAGATAATTTCCGGGTGTCACTTCCGGTGGCTAGCACTGAGGCGACGGCGATCCGACAACGACGACATCGGAGTTATCATGACACTGCGATAATATTAAAAAACGGTATACCCAAATCGATTTGTCGACGCGGCGCAATCGTRAGATTATTATCGTTTTAATTTTTTTTTATCGGTTTTTATGCGTAGCGACTAGTGCACTAGAAAATCGTAGTGTTATGCAATAATATTATATAAAATACTTATAATGTGAATTGCTATTATCATCGAACTGCGGGYGGCCCGAAAATCGTTGAGTKGAAGACGAAAAAAAACGAAATATGTCGCAGAAGACGAAGGACGCGACGACTCACGCGCACAATCACCGTCGAACAGATAATATCATTTTGTCGCTCGATATTATGGCSGTGGCAACGGCGTTAATTCCGAACGCGTTAACGATACATTTCCTGTACACGGTGGCCTATTCATGTTTCCATTTACACACTACATAATATCGTCTGCGACACACTACACTCAGATCGAGGGTCACGTGTTCGTTGTTGAATACCTATCTAGTTCATAAAATATTATTGTGATACGTCATGATGAATATAAGGTACCCCTACTCCGTCATAACGTGCYCACTCGGATGAAAYATTTTTCTGCGTTTCGAACGAATATTCGAACGCACAGGCGACTATGATTTATATATTATGTACCTACTTTGTGAGAACCGAAGTTGGTTCAAAATACTGCAGCGTTATAATCAKATATTTTGGTCGTCAGGGGCGGACTGGTCCAGGGTGCTATACACCGCAAGTAGCACCCCRAGCCACCATTTGTATTTATGATCCGGGCTGCCGATTACCACTGTCGGGGGGCCCTTTTTAATTTAACTMTTATTGTAATTTTGAATATAGAAAGATAAATATTATAATAGACATGTATACAGTTCTGTTATTATTATATTTATAATATAACATTATTGTACCACTCCTAATTTTTGAAAAAAATATACGGACCCCTAATTAATTTTGCACCCCGAGCTAAAAAATAGCCAGTCCACCTCTGTTGGTCGTACGAGTAGGTGCATATCATATTGTTATATAGGTTCATGTTATTTGAATGAAATAAAAAGATTTTTCTAAAGGGATGAGTATTGTTTTTAAGTGTTCTTTTATCAGTATTCCGAATAGACGAGTGACGAGAGAATTTAAATCTCGCAAAATGTTTTGATATATATTTTATACAGGGTGATTCTTTTATCAAACAACACTCATTATTTCAAAAACTATTGACTTTTTTCAAATTTTTTTTAYTCAAAATTGTAGATCCATCTTGTTCTAGAACAAATATATTTTTTAAATATTTTCACCCTTATTATATTTATCAGGTAAACCATTGTTAACTTTTGATTTTCAAATGACAACCTATACTTAAAATTTCATAAACTAAAAAGGCTACTTTTTCAATGAATTTTCACGTTTAAATTTTCATTTTTCGTTAATCCGTTAGCSTCCCAAAGTTGGGTAGTATTTGTGTGTTATAGGTATATGTTGGGTGTTGTTTACACACAAACACCATATGAGTGTAGTTTGATAAAAGAATCACCCTGTATAATTATAATGTATTATTTTTGGATTACTAAGTCTTATTCCGACTGAGTTACAAACAGACGCATCTGAATAGTCTGAATAATTATGCTTGTTTTTGAATATTCGTTATAGCGATGGCGAAACAAGTGGAAAGTTTGGGAACCGTTGYACCCACACACTTAATTACATTAATTCGGTAACAATCACATATATACAATACAACTAGATTGCTTCATGTTGAATTCGGTAAAATGGTCGACCGCATTAATCAAAGAGGCTCATGTTTACAATTTGTTCGTTGGAATGTAACCCCTAAGGACTAGGTACGACAAATATATCCAAAATAAGTACATAAATGAGATTTTATACATTTCTACCACTGATATAGGTAGATACTTTATGGTGGCACAACGGCCTATGTTTGATCGCAGCGCTGAGCGGAGTCAAATGTTCATATCAAATCTGACAAACAGTCACATACAGGCCGCCCTCTACACAATATGGATAGTATATAAATAGATAAGACATCCGCCTATATGCATACCTATTGTACACGGTATGCCGTGAGCGAAGAGGTCTACTGGTTACCATAATGGTCATATGCGGTCACAGATGGTTTATGAATTTATGATGGATACAATTTTCAATCAATCTGACTTGAGCCAATTTTTGAACAAAATACGATAATAAATTTTAATATTATTTATTTAAAATGGCGTATAAATGTTCATGTTGCGATGCCACCTCCAAAAATAATGACAAACGTACCTTGTCTTGTTATTAGTAAAATAAACATTTTATCGAATTAACATACATTGTTGGTTATTCTATTATTCATACCAATAAAATGTAAACGATCGAACATGTTATTAACTTATAAGCAATTTAATGAAAATAATAAATAACGTCGTCACTTTCCGAGTTTTTCCCTTCAATGTGCGACTAAAATTGTGTTTTCGTCACCACTTATGGCCGATACCACACCTTAATATTATAATTAAYCAATTTGGTAACTATATAGTATGCTCACACTATAGTCACACTTGAACACACGGTGTGTYCTATTCATGTATATATTATTATCTATGCCTCTACAGCATTATGATAGCTGAACTCTCATACCATGTTACCATCATATACTAATAATAATAAGTAATAACTAAACAATAATTAACAGATAAACAAAAATAATTCATTAATTTATTCTAGAATATCATGATTATTGCGTGGAATCTTAAAAAAKCGAGGGACTCTTAAACATTGATCATRTTGCACATCATCAAAATATAATATATACATTACAAAGGCCCTATGGCTTTCTTTTAACTCTTGATAAGAACATCCAGAGCCATATCATATCCGTGCTCGTTGTGCAACCATAATAGTATCCACATCACYACATCCGTTATTTCTACAATTCGGTCCTAATCAATGCGCGACGAAAACTAAAAAAACGAGAAACCGAAAAGAGAACCGCTCTTTGATAACAAAAGTCGGCCATTTCCAATAAGGCTTCAAGACATTACATATATTCTGTGCAGGAGACAATTTATGGGTTGTCTCCCATTGACCAAGATCGATTTGATATGTACCCATGACGTGGTAACCGGTCGTCGTGCGCGTGCGTGCAGTGGGAGTTGAACCCCATCGCTGTGGATCGAACTAAGAGATTTCAGACTTTTTGGACGCAAAAAACGCGCAGTGGCGTTCAATCGTGACAAACAGATTGTTTGACGAGAGGGCCGGTAGAACAATTACACGAAGTGTATATATATAGGTACGACCAAATGTATATATATATATATATATAATATGTATATAGGGCGATAAACGCGTTTCTATACCATTATTATCGGCTCCCGACGCGACGACGACGTGCGATATATATATATAATATATAAATGTATAATATTATATATATTGTTCGCGCAATGAGTCGACTCGTAAAGCCCGACTTAAGCGATAGCAAACGCTTGCTTGTACGTGTCCTGCACAGCGATTATAACTTTTTTCGGATTCGTAACTTTTTTTACTCTTTTTTTTTCGCTTTGTTTCTTATCAACTCTTAAAAGCACATTAAAYGATTCGGTATCGGTTTTTTTTTATTTTCGTCGTCGACTTTTTTGCTTGCCTGCCTGCGCTCGTGGTKGATCGCAAAACACTTATATATGTATTACTAGTGTACAGGTTGATTTTTTTAAGTATGTCCATGCTATGTTTATGGTTAAATTTCAGATTTTTGGAATGTTTTGATACACTTGAAGACCATTTTTCGAATCATTGAAATTTTTTTGCGCCTATCATAGGTGGTCCTGTGACAATGCAAACTTCAGTTTTTTTTAACAGAAATATTTTTTTTTTTTTGTAATAAGCTGATTTTTTTTCTTGAGAATTTTGATGTATCTAAATCAAAATTTAAGCTAGTATAGTTTTTGAGTTATTTAACTCTGTGTTTTAAGGATAATATAATACGCCAATTGTATTAGAAAGTTATTAGATGATTTGATAAGTTAGCAATTGTTATTGATTTATCAACATGAATAATTTGTAAAAATGTTTCAAGTATGATAAATAGGTACTACATCTAACATTACTTATAATTTTTATTTTTTTTTACATTTTATTAACTCAGAAACTACTCATCMGAATTTGAATCTAGGTACATTGAATTTTTCAAAAAAATTATTCGCCAAATAATTTTCAGAAAAAAGGGAGTTCTCATCTGAAAAATAGAAGTTGGTATCGCCACAGGATACTCCCAAAGTAGTAGAAAAAATATCAGAAATTTGAAAGCACGGTCTTAAAAAAGTYCAAAAATCATAATTTGAATAAATTAATGGGAAAAATGGCGGTTAGCGTGCATAAAAACCACCCTGTATATTTCTATTACTATTTATTATATAATACTATAATATGCGTTTTCAACCATTCCACTTGTACAGAATTCGACCTCATCACGCGTGTGAGTTCTCACAGCTATATTGTATGCATTTCGAATAAACGAGTGTCGACCCTACGCAAACATATTATAATACGGTTTGTTTTCATTAGTCGCTTTTCGTTAACAACGTAGGTATAATATRATGACACATCGTTATAAAATAATATACYACTAGGTATGTATAGGTAATAATACCTATGCCCTGTATATAGGTTCAAAATAATATACTGTAATACAACACAGATAGACATCGGTGGTGACCTTTTATGACAATCATAATTTAAATTAATTACAGTAGACGTCATAATATATTATTATTATATTATCTAGATTATTGATCATCTAAAATGACGGCAAAACACCGTAACGAACGGTCGTGTTCCATATTTTGGCATTCGGTGGAGGTTGAGCTTGCTCAAACGATATTAAATTTCTTTACGCAGCGAATCTTATTATAGGTACGCTTTTTTGTGTTTCACAAAATGGCGATGAACTTTTACCACGACACAGGCGTAAGTTTAAAATAGAAAAAAAACATTTATCTAGATTTACACAAATTTTTAGACTTTTATTTGTATAGATAATAGTTCAAAATTTAAGTGTGTATTTAATATACTATATATGCTATTTGCAATGAGAGGGAAGAGACTATTTATTTGTCGTGTTCATAAGAAATTGTTACAAATAACATAATTTTTCTTTGCAAAATTAAAAACTTTTTACTATTAATTCACCTAAAGGTCAACACCATTTGCAGAGTTGCTCTCATTCGAGTAAATTAATAAAAGCGTGTAATTAAATAATGTAATTGAATGTATTTATTATACTGTGAAACTTCTATACTGCGAAGTTTCAACGGGCAACAAAAGAAATTCGTTTAATACAATTAAATAGATTTGGTTGAGA